TACCGATGTGTGCCAAAACTGATAATTGTATTTTCACTGTTTTGCACATTTCATCAAGCGTGAAACCAAACAATTTCTACTCTCAAATGATTTTGAGGCAAGTCATGCACAGAGTATTGGCAATAGTAGTGACGCTGCATAAAGTAGTAAGTGTATTATTTTTCATGTTTAGGCAAGGTATAAAATGATGATTCCTTGAGATGTATGCCAAAGTGATTATCGTGTGCCTAATATTTTGAATATTTCATCTCTCCTGAAATGAGACAATTTTACCTCATTTCCAGAGGCAAGTTGCGCACAGTAGCATGGCTGAAAAAAAACTACAGGTTATCCAGTGATAAAGAGTATTATTTTTGACTTCTGGATAGTTATAATATGCCCCGAGTGAGTTAGTTAAGATTTAATTTCTTACAGGCAATATTTACGACCTAGTGAGGTACGAGTGTAAGTCACATCAGCGATAATTCAGCCACATTGTCAATAAAACAAGTCATACATTGATCGTACATATAGTTACGTGATACAATCGACAGAGGGCAGTAAAACGACTAGATTATCACATATAGAGATTGAAAACTAGCATGTAACTTTAAAATTATACCATAATGCAGGACAATGCAATGAAGAAACGGCCTATAGATGGCCAGCAAAGACAGAAAGACACAGAGATTCAAATATCGAAACAGTTCAGTGCCACAGTACGAAAACGTGTTTAGCCCTCCATAGAGCTGGCTTCTTGCCAAGTGCGGTTTTACACAACAAAACAAACAAAATCATGTTTCACTGACTATGCTAAAACATGTTCAATGTCACCACAAATACAGAGATAATTATGGCAGGAATAACCTTCAACCACGTTGTGGGGAAAAGAGTGAGTGAGTGAGAAAAGTGGTGTTGGCGGCAAGGAAGGTGGAACGTACACTGTGAGACCTTAAAAGTGCCAGTATCTGCCACCGTTGTCTACGGTAAAACCGTCTTAATCAGGTAAATAATGCAGTAAACTTTGGCAGAGTTCTGTAAGTATCTACCGTAAATTATATGATTGACAGATCAGAGCACATGGGAAATAGAAATACATTTTAAGTGTCTCGCGAGGGTTTTGCCATGTCAACATTTTACTCTGAATGCCCCAAAGATGAAGTAATTGTTATTATGTTTTTCTTTAGTAGATAATATTATTGTGCTGTCGTCTCGGATATACTGCAGAAACGATATGCAAGATGAAATATGTACCATTCATCCAAAGAACTGAGTTTGATATATGAACCAACTTTACAAGTTTATTTTATCTTAATGTTATATGATGTATTTACAGTCCCCTATCATATATGTACAACATGCGCTCAGACATGCTGTCATATAGTAATAATACTTGGGTGAACAGATCTAGACCATGGCTTCTGCGGTCCTGTTGTGTGTCGTGTCGATTTCAAAAGCACATGGAGTGTGTATTAGATTAGTAGTGCCGTCTTGCTTGACATGTGACATGATATATTTTTCCTTGACAACAGTATTAGCATCTCTGTCGAAATATAAAGTAGTTGTTATTCATAAGGCGTTTTACCTATCACGTATTGATAGTTTTCCTTTGGTATTCGATATCCTATCGCTCTATTTGGTCTAGACACTAACATCTCTGTAATGTAAGCATCTTACAGAAAACAAAAGTTGTTAAATTCTCATAATTATATATAATTAAAATGAGCCGAGATATGTCGATTCAGTGCAGTAAAATCTAGACTTGACAAATGTTATATACTTGCTTGAGTTGTACTTGATATATATGTTTTGGCGTCATTGTGACACACTTTGGTGTGTGGTCATTTAGATTGTTAGTACGCCAATGAGCTGACCCATAAAACAACTTCGCCTATGATGTTATTAGGTGACTTCAAGTGTACATCATGAGCTGACTAAAGTGTATTGGGATATATGTTTACATCAAGAACAGCAAGTAAGTTTAGTTTCAAGCAATATTTCAGCAATATCACGGCGGGGACACCAAGAAATGTGCTTCACACATTGTACCCATGTGGGAAATCCAACCCGGGTCTTTGGCGAGACGGCAGCAATAAACTAGGCTACACCACCTCCCAAATAAAAAAACAATAACAAAGCAGTATATATCATGATATATAAACATATATAGTTGTCTACACTTTCTAGACCTGTCACTACAAGAGAAGCCTGTCTGGTGGATGACATAGGCGTGACATTGTCACTACAAGAGAAGCCTGTCTGGTGCATGACATAGGCGTGACATTGTCACTCCCTGTTTAACAGTCTGTACCTTGCCACGCCTGACAGTGATAATGTCAATACTCTACATGCACTATGCATTGGTAATAATCCGTTAATGGGCTGCTTTATATTTTATATGTATAGTTATTTTATCGACCCGTGTGTGTCATAGGCCAACTGGCGGAACATTGTAATATACCTCTATTCACCACACTTTTAACTGTTCACTTGTACATTGTTACAATGTGTGACATAATAAGAGAATAATTTTCTTCTTTCTTATTCTGTATCTTGTATATGATATGACCAAATTAAGGCGTGTATGAGTTTTGAAGTTGTGGGAGTTTCAAGTTTGATAACCCGCTATATGGCGTGGGTCGTCAGTGGTAATGTCAATCATTGGATTGTCTGGTCCATCCATACTTTACAATCTTTTTTATGTAACCACCGCTTCTGTATGGTTTGTGGTTTCAGCTGGTGTTTTAATTTGCGGCCGTAAGTTTGGGTTTGGGGGCAGACTTAAGAATTTCGGATTTTTACAAATTACACGTTTGACACATATTTGACCCTACTTTTAATGTTTGGTATCGCCTCATCTCAGTAGTTCAAAAGAATTTAGCAAATCCTTATAAATAAGATTTGGTCATTTAAAAGCATGGGCAGACAACTGAGTATACAGGCGCGTTGCTGGGGTAAGGTGGAAGAGGTGCTTTCTAAAGTTCCTATTACTGGGAGAGTGTAGGGGGTCAGGCAAATGTTTTTCTCTTTCCCCTAGCATGCTGCCATATAGTAAAACTACTTTGAGTGAACAGATCTGGACCAATGCTTCTGCCGTCCTCTTGTGTGTCGTGTCAATTTCAAAACCAGGTGGATTTTGTGCAGCACGTGCACTTTAGTTTCCCTGACAAACAGTTGACGGCCTCTGTCCCAGATTCACTAAATGTTGGACTCTGTGCGAAGACGTCTGTGGCTTTGAAATTATGGGTTTCAATTTACATTTATATATCTGCCTTCCACCCTGGAGGAGAAAAAGTCTCTGGAACCAGGGTATCACAAAGTCAGGAACTGAGCATTTGATTTGAATACCTTTGGTTACAGAGACAATGAAACAAAAGAAAAACAACATGAACAAGCTACAGAGAATTACTTCTAAATTTAGTTACAGGAAAGACAGATTTCTATGCCAGAAAACATATACTCCATTTTACACATTTACAAGATATTTCAAGCACTGAACAGGTAAACTGTTAATGATCCATATATTTCAAACTAACATAAATGCTTAAATTATCATCAAACATTTGTGTGATACATCAATCACTGGGTATACAATTTATTGATGGGCTTGTAACTATAGTGACTAGTCTTCTCGATAATATAAAACCTAACTAAAAGTCAAAAACCTTTCATTCATGCATAAAATACTAGGATCCTGCATAGGAATATTATCAACTTATCCTTCTTTGTATATTACCTGTGGTATGGCTCAGCAGTAGTCCAGCCATATTGTCGCTAAACAAGACTATACATATATTTCAATGTGAAAACATTGAAGGATCTATTTTATAACGTTAATTATCATGTAATTATTGAATTTTAAAAGAAATAGAATTACTTGATAAATTATGATTGATATGTTTTTTGTATAGTATTTTATATGTGTAGTTTAAATTAACAACTTGAATTTAACTCTGGGCCCGTTTCCTCGCCTCGTCTCTGACTGGTCTCCCTGCTTGGTCTCCTGACTGACCATGTGGGTCCGGTTTATGCATAGGGACATTACGCCACGTTGTGCAAGGTCACTGACCTGTGCACATGTACATACGTAAGATCCGCCGACGTGGGGAGATGTTAATTGAAATTTACTGATGGCATTGAGATTGAGGTCCTGCCCTGAGGGTTTAAGATAAAAGGGCTACACCGAATGATTGCTGAATACATTAAACAGACAAAGGGGATAGAATTTCGGTGCACTTTGGATATATATGGAAACAATTATGTTGTTTGAATATATGAAGTTTTACAGAAACTTATTGAAATGGTTTACTCTATGACAACACTATGACACTTTTAAAGATATGCGCTAGCTAGTTTTAACTCATTTTGTGATAATCTGGTAAAATTTACTGCCCTTCGTTGACGGGTTTTATATATCATATGTATGTATTGTCAATTTGGAAATAGTTTTAGTCATGATATTGCTGAAATATTGCCGATGTGACTTTAACTCACCCACTCACTTTAAATTTTTCATATTTAAAGAACGTATAAATATAGCGGGAAGAACATACGCACATGAATTTCTCAGACAATATCTGTTCTTATATTTCGAGCATTTACGGAAACAATATCTAAGTTGTCCCCACCCATTTGTTGGTCGGATATGGTTTTGTTTTTAGTTATTATATAAACCCATAGCCTCGGGTGTTGTGAAGCTCTATTACAGGTACCCTATTACAAAATGTCATGAGATGTGGCAGTTTACAAAATCACAAACTCTAGGCTTTTGCATTTAACTTAATTAATGTTTTACCAAATTTATTTGAGGGCAACAAGAAGGCAGTCTCAGAATGAAATATATCTTACTGAAAACCAACAGTTGTTTAATTATCTTGAGCCAAGACATTTTCTATTCAGAGCTGTAGTAATTCAGACTTACTTCATACGATAGACTTGTGTTGGCTGTCCTGGATATATTTGGTTTAGTGACTGTAAAACATGTGTGTAAATTTGTAAATATATATTTCCCTGTGCACAAGGTTGCCTCTTGACGAGTGCAGTGTATGGCCGGCTGAATGTGATCCGCCACTGTCACTGTACAACCTGCCCCTACCACGCCTGTCCTCCCTACCACGCCTGTCTCCTCCTACCAGGCCTGAAAACCTGCCCCTACCACGCCTGTCCCCCTACCACGCCTGTCTCTCCTACCAGGCCTGCAACAGCCTGCCCCTACCACGCCTGTCCCCCCACCACGCCTGTCTCCTCCTACCAGGCCTGCACACCTGCCCTACCACGCCTGTCCCTCCCACCAGACCTGCACAACCTGCCCCTACCACGCCTGCACCCCTGCCCTACCACGCCTGTCCCCCTACCAGCCCTGTCCTCTCCTACCGACCTGTCCACCCTACCACTCCTGCACAACCTGCCCTACCACGCCTGTCCCCCTACCACGCCTGTCCCTCCTACCAGGCCTTCCTGTCCCTCCTACCAGACCTGCACAACCTGCCCCTACCACGCCTGTCCCTCTTACCACTCCTGCACAACCTGCCCTACGACGCCTGTCCCCCCTACCACGCCTGTCCCTCCTACCACGCCTGTCCCTCCTACCGACCTGTCCACCCTACCACTCCTGCACAGCCTGCCCTACCACGCCTGTCCCCCTACCACGCCTGTCCCTCCTACCAGGCCTGTCCCTCCTACCAGACCTGCACAACCTGCCCCTACCACGCCTGCACAGCCTGTCCCTACCACGTCTGTCCCCACTACCACGCCTGTCCCTCCTACCAGGCCTGTCCCTCCTACCAGACCTGCACAACCTGCCCCTACCACGCCTGCACAACCTGCCCCTACCACGCCTGTCCCCTCCCACGTCTGCCCCTACCACGCCTGTCCCCCCTACCAGGCCTGCACAACCTGCCCCTACCACGCCTGTCCCTCCTACCACGCCTGCACTACCTGCCCCTACCACGCCTGTCCCCCTACCACGCCTGCACAACCTGTCCCTACCACGCATATCCCCCTACCACGCCTGCACAGCCTGCCCCTACCACGCCTGTACATGGCGTGTAATATATATCGGGCACGGCTCATTGTGGCTGACGGTATTAGTATAGTACCAATGTTTGATCCCACATTGAAAGCCTGCGTAACACAGTCTGAACCAGATAATCTGATTTCTGATTCATTAGATCGATGCTCATGCAGTTAATCACTGGATTTTGCAGTTGGTCACTGGGTTTTCTGATCCAGACTCGATTATTTACAAACCAGTCACGCAGTGAAAATTACCGAGTGCGGCGTTAAACAACAACAACAACAACAACGTGTGTTACTAAAAATAGCTTACAACTCTCAGGTGTCAGATGTTTTTGAACTACAGGAATAATAACTTTTCTATATGCTAATGTTGAAACTTCTTGGACCCATTCGCTTCCTGGTAAGAATAATGATGCCCATCAGCCCATGGTTGTCTAAAGGCATCATAACGGATATGGTGCTCATGTGACTCAACAAACCCATGAACTGAATGTAAATTCAGCAGATCGATTATCATGGTGTCGATCACTGGATTGTCTGATCAAGATTCGCTATTTACAGACGGCTCTTGTATGGGTAGAATGTGTAAGTGTCGCCAAAACAACAAACACGCCAAATAAATGTATAAAGTTACAGCTATGTGATTATGTTCTTTATCAATAAACTGGGAAAGAACAGGGGCAGCTTAATGGCTAGGTTGGTCAGGCGGAGTGACAAGGTTGGTAGCCTGTAGCCCTATACAACCAAGTATTTTGTTATTTGAAAGACATCAGCCCGTATTTCCCCTTACATTTCACTCTACTCAAATCATATCACCTGAATATATATTCCTCATGTGATAAAGATAAGTTTTAACATGTTTCTTTAATTGTATCTTAACATCCTGAAAAATATATCCAACTTCTGAAAATGCCACTCAAAGAAATTTGTCCTCATTGTTAAAATTTAGGGTAGGTGGGTGTGTGTGTGGGTGTGTATATGGGCGAAAGTCTTATCTTATTATTTTCTGGTCAGCAACCATATTACAGACGGTCGAGCGGTGTGAACCACAGAAATATAAAAATGTTGACCTAATATCAGTCACTGAAATGTCTGGCACAGGAGTGATTCTATCCACAAACTATTATATTGCTGAGTGCTGCCTACATTCTGTCACAGGTCTAACGTATTTTCACCCTATATGTTCATCTGACCTTGTGGAAGATGTCAACTGAAAGATTCAAAAGCACAAATGTCAGTGCCAAGATATTACCGGCAGAGTGCGTGAGTGAGTATGGTTTTACGCCGCTTTTAGCTATATTCCAGCACCATCACGGCGGCGGGGACACCAGAAATGGGGTTCACAAGTAGGAATCGAACCCGTGTCGTCAGCGTGACGAGCGAACGCTTTACCACTAGGCTACCCCCCACCTTCCCTATTACCGGTAGAGTAAGGGCGACATGCGTGTGTACTTGTTTCATTTCTCCGACTGGTTGTGTTATCCGTAGAGAATGGGTTGAACAGTGCAAATCTTCTGCCCTCCAGCTTTTGTCTCACAGTGTGCCGTGTCAGTTTTCAACTACGTGAATTTTCCTGCAGCCCGTGCACTATCGTCGCTCCGACTTACGGTGGAAAACAAGCCGAGGTTGAAGCGGCACTAACCAGGTTATAAAACTTGGACAGACTGTACACATGTGTGGTGGCCTGTGAGTTATGATTTACAGTCACGTCGGCGATATCGTGACTAAACAAGTTAAAACATTCATATTAAATCCAGTTACCGTCAATACAGATAGTCCCCGTGGTCCCAGGCTGGGTCATCTACTTTCAGTTGCTGGCCATCTCCAGTCCGTTTTCTATTGTATTGTCCGTATCATTTGTTTTTATTTTGAAGTTGCGAGATTTCAGTTCTCTATCTGTGATAGTCTAGCTATTTCATTGTCCTTAGTTGACGTGTTTGTATGATGAGCTGTATTTTACATCATCCCTTCACAGAAGTTTGGAAGAATTATTATTAATTCCTATTGATACCTCACTCACGCAAGAGCTGATTTAGCTGCAGAAACTTTCCCGTAATTCCAAAGTCACAGGGTAGCCAACAAGACAGGATGTCAGTATAAAACACAGATTTAAAAGTCATTTCATAATTTCTGCAATAAACGGATAGCCAATTTCACGCTTACTGAGTGTCCCTGCCCTACCACGCCTGTCCCCCCTACCACGCCTGCGTGTCAGTTTCAACTACGTGAATTTCCCGCCGCAGCCCGTGCACTATCATCAGCTCCGACTTACGGTGGAAAACAGAAGCCGAGGTTGAAGCGGCACTAACCAGGTTATAAAACTTGGACAGACTGTACACATGTGTGGTGGCCTGCCGAGCACCCATGTGGATTTCTGAAGTCAGACAGGCGATACGACGAGCTACAAAATTTCCACAGTGAGTGAGTGAGTTATGATTCACAGTCACGTCGGTGATATCGTGACTAAACAAGTTAAAACATTCATATTAAATCCAGTTACCGTCAATACAGAAAGTCCCCGTGGTCCCAGGCTGGGTCATCTACCTTCAGTTGCTGGCCATCTCCGAGTCCGTTTTTCTATTGTATTGTCCGTATCATTTTTTTTTATTTTGAAGTTGCGAGATTTCAATTCTCTATCTGTGATAGTCTGGCTATTTCATTGTCCTTCGTTGACATGTTTGGTATGATTAGCTGTATTTTTACATCATCCCTTTCACAGAAGTTTGGACAGAAATTAAAATTAATTTCTATTGATAATTTCACTCACGCAAGAGCAGGATTTAGCTGCAGAAACTTTCCCGTAGTTCCAAAGTCACTGGGTAGCCAACAAAACAGGATGTCAGTATAAGCCACCGATTCAAAAGTCATTTCATAATTTCTGCAATAAACGGATAGCCAATTTCACGCTTACTGAGTGTCAGCGGCGCACGATAAAGCCATCTGAAAATATGCTCTTGACATTCTGTCTCCAATCTTTGATCCATCGCTACTCAGTTCCCAGCAAAATTGTGAGATAGAACAAAGGTCTTGTTGGCAACCTTTTTTCAGTCTGGTTAATTCCAAATTGACATCAGACTAAAGGTTTTGGATTTACATACTAGATTTATTTCTACATGAGTGATGTTTTTTCACTGTCTTCACTGACAGGTTTTATAAGTTAACTTTGTGTATTATGAGCGAACAACTGGACTTTATTCGCGTTATGGTTGAAAATAATTTGCTGATGTGACTTCAAATCTTAACTAAATGTATTCACTGACATCACGGTCGCACTTCCGGCAAAATTGAATTCAGCAATTGCAGACAAATTCATATTTGTATCTGTTTATATGATGTTAGATTAGGGATCCCGAAATTGGTGCAGTTGAACTCTTATCACAGCAAAGTCTGATCAAGTGGAGTTAAAACGGTGTTAAAGCAGGATTGGATGGATTAAAATGGAGTTTAGTAACATACTGCAGTGTTATTCATTAGCTTAAACATAAATATTGTTAGTCCGTATACAACGTTTGAGAACCCTGGAGATCCGTCCTAGAATTGGCCCTCAGCAACCAAGCATCAGAGGCATTATGCTTGTCCAAAGAGGCGGCAAAATGAGTTAAGTTGTATTTTTTAATTTTAAATCAATGGATTGTTTGGTCCATTCTCGGTTATTTAGAAACCACTCTCATATGAAATGGAGTGTGCCGTTAAACAACAACCGTGTTTTGTTTTGTTTTGTTGAACGGTGCACTCGGCAGTATTGAAGCTAAATAGCTGCAATCTGTAATTAATCGACTCTGGACCAGACAATCCAGTGATATAAATAAGGCGCATCGATCTATGCTATAAGTAACGATGCCAACTAAGTCAGCTAGCCTGACAACCCGATCCAACTAAAGTACTGTCGGAAATGCTAGAAAAATGCTTTTTGACTGATATTTAAAATTCAGAGGTATTACAGTTACTTAAATAACAAATATCACTTCAAGAAACATCTACCTACCTAATGCAGACCGAGAGAATAAATTTTGAGACATGCCCTAAAATGTGTTTTTAGTGATGAAAATACCAAAAACTTAGAAAAATAAGGGGTAGTGGGACGTTATTTGATACAAACATTAATTGCCTGTGTTACGTCATCAGCATCCACGGTATCGACAGGTGAAATTGACACCTGAGCACACGCTCGGGCGAGGTGTCATCTCAATAGATGTTTTCTGCAAAATGTTGAACTTGTGTACATATAAACATATGGATGTGATTCGGTCAGTTTAATCTAGTTGTGAACATTGGCCAAAGATTTAACGAAGTCACTGGTGTAGCTTCTTTAGAATATGTATGTTTTCTTCTCATAAAGTTTGTAGACCGCCCGTCTAAGCACTCCCTTGTCAAAGTTGCCAAGGATGGTTTTACGTCCAGGTTTTGCGGTTTTGCACTCATTAACTCATCAAATGAGTCAGACATTCACTATTTCGAGGTTAGCCGGGCTGTAAACACAGTCTGTCAAGCGCCAAGGCAATAGCAGTATCACTTACAAAGCTATAATTTGTCAGGAAATAAGTATATTATTTTCATCTTTAGGTTGTTTCTAAAATGATAGTTTCCTTGGATGTATGCTAAAAAAATGATCATCGTACATCCAGAAATGAAGCAAATTTATCTGATTTTGAGGCAAGTCATGCGCGGCGACAAGGCAGTAGTAGCAATGCAGATAAAGGTGTAACTTGGAGTAATAATATGTGTAATATTTTTATCTTCAATCAAGTTGTAATATCGCGCAATATCCCCGAGTGAATTAATATTTATAGTCTCATAGGTAATAGTTCAGCAATATTGTGACTAAAACAAGTCATAGGTTCATAATATACTCTTTTAAAAAAGAAACGCAAAGGTATTTTTTTTTAAATTTTAAAGAGAAATATATGTAATAACGTTACAAGCTCACAGTATATGATGACATGTTGAGCACTGAAAAAAAAACGACAATTAAAGTTGCCCATTCCGAAAACATTGACTTTTCGCCAAAACGCATTCGTGTCCAATAAATTTGT